AACCAGAAGCATAAGGATCCAAAAAAGTGGGGGGAAAAAATTAAAAAGTACTTGCTCTTGAAATTGAAATAAAGATAATTCATTTCAGGTTAAAGTACAAATTGGATAAAAGTACAAGCTGGTTCTTATGTTGCCTGAACCAAGTGACCCAGTTTCAATAACCAGGGGATTTGTTAAATCTGATGGCTTTTTGGGGCGCACCTGCCAGTCCTTAATGCCTGGAGCTGGTAATACTGACTTTCCAAATCTTGCACCAAAAACTAGGTGAAGAAATTGCCACCACAAGGATTTTCTTCATTGTCATGGAAGTAACAAATTTATCCTTGGTCTGCCTGATGTAAAAACATGGCCAGTTCAAACCCTAAACTAAGGGAGAGGCTAAATCAGGGGTGGGCAACATTTTTGGGAGTGCCAAAACCCCCCACAATCTGGACTTTACAGATGTTGGCGTGCCATGGGTGGATGGCAGCGGAGCCATGAGGGGCCTGATCCTTGTGGCAGTGCAGTCCTGGCCTCTTCCTGGCCATGCTCCCCGAGGCGCGCATGTAGCTGCTGCTGGAAATGAGCCTGGCCAGGGCTGTAGGCCCCTGCCTGCTGCCATGGAGCCCAGGCTGCTCACAGCAGGCAACTGTGAGCCTGCAAGTGGCTGCACTAGGGTCTGGAGTCCTGGCTTAGCTCACTGTCAGCAGCAGCTGCACATGCACCTCAGGGTGCACGGTAGGGAAGAGACTGGGGGAGTGCAACCAACCTCAACTAACCGAGAGCTTCCATCCGCTAAGCCCTTGCCCTCTGCAGCCTGATGCTCCATGGTACCGCTTCACTGACCCAGGCATACCTCCCAGGCTGCACGGATGGCAAGGACAAGCCCTGAGGCACAGAAATGGCACAGTCCTGAGCCCCCCGAAGTGGGCTGTTGAGGATGACTGGTACTTCTGCTAGAGCTGCAGCTGGCAGGAGGCAGCACCCACAGCTGCCCCTCCTTCTGTGTCAAGGATGCCAGGCTGCACTACTCCTGTCTCATCCCTCCACCAGCCCCAACTTGATGACGTGGTACATCCAGCTCTGTGTCACATGCCCAAGGTAATGCAGCTGAACACACTGCACTCCTTGCGGATGCCCAGCTCCTCCAGCTGCATGCTGCCCGCCCACCTGTGCATGTGCTGCTGCTCAGTCCTTTCGTGGCCGTGTGCCCCAAGGTGCACATGCAGTTGCCACTGCCAGGAAGCCTAGCTGGGGTTCTGGAGCCCAGTGCAGCTACTGTCTTGCATGGAGCCTGGGCTGCTTGCAGCAGGACTTGTATCCTCCCAGCCACCTGCTGCAAGTGGCTTGGGCTCTGTGGCTGGCGGCAGCTGTCCGGAGCCCAGGCCAGCTGTAGTATAAGCAAAATGGTCTCATGTGCCATGCTCTGGCACGTGTGCCGGGGGATAGGGGGGCTTGCCAACCCCTGGGCTATATTAATGCTCTAAGTCACAAAGCAATGGGGTTCAAGGCTTGGTCAGATTCCTGTACACCAGTGCTTGGCATTTGCTGTTGAGACATGTACTAAGCAAAGTGGCACTGTTATCAACAAATACAATGTCCACAAGGGGATCATATTCTGTATTGTTTCTGTGTAAGAAACCACCATTACAGGACTCAAGGTATTTTTAACAGGGCCTTAAATATATGCTGACATTTTATAACCAAATTATTAGTTTAATCAAGTATATTTTAAGAATTGATGAGAAAGATCTATTTTAGTATTAACTTGGTAGAAGAAATTCCAAGATATTGCAAAACCTTCAGTAATATTACTGTTAGTATATTATTTTCCAGCACTGTAATTAGGTTTATTTTTAGAACATCTTTGTCCAACTGTGGCACTCACTAAGAAAGGCAAGACTGAAGCTGCCAGTATTCAAAATTAAGGTCAAAGGAAGAAAAAAGAAGGTTACGGCTGAACTGAAGTCACCACAAATGGGGCACTGAACCATAACAGCCTTCCCACAGCGCAGCCTTTATTTCTGATTTTAATCCAGACTGTAATTGAAAAATGTATTTCAGGAGGACAGGCAAAACCAGTCACTAAGTTAACTGCTTGATATTTCACAGACGAGCCTTTGATAAAATGTACCCCTCCTTTCACTGAAATTGAATACTACTGTGATTTGGTTAAAAATAAGACTAATACAACAATTATTTTCATTTTAGGAATTCCAGAAGTTTAAAAATACAACAAACGAATATTACTTGTCTTTGTATTCAGAAAATGCCCAGCATTCTAAACATTCTCAGACACTCAGGACACAGGGTTAAGGGCCATCTCTTTTACAATTTACAAACTTATGTGCTTCCTAAAATTGTTCAAAATGGCATTTTTTTAGCTGCTTGACACAATTTGGCAATCAAGAATGGCAACTAGGAAAATGGGATTCTAGAAGTTCAAGTCAAAACTAATACAGACAGATGAAGTCAATAGAGTAGTACTTGCTTATACAGACATTGAATTTGGCCATAAACTTTAGGTCAAAAAAATTTGCTTCTATTTTGTATATGACAAAGTGCATTGTTTTCTTGGAAGCTAAGTGCATGAGAAACACTTGATGCCTCATTGGCTGCGCTGTTGCTGGAAATTTCTAATTCTCTACTCACTGCAGGAAAGAATCTTTCGAGTTAGTAGTGACTACAAATTAAGAAGGAGACAGACCTATTAGAAGAAGGAAGAAAAATTAAAAAAAAAAAGAAAAACAAGAAAAGAAATAGGACAAATTATGACCAAGAATTCACAGAATCATAGAAAATTAGGGCTGGAAGGGACTTTAGGAGGTTGACTAGTCCAACCCCCTGCTCAAAGCAGGACCATCTCTAACTAACTGGGTCTAAAAAACCTCCAGTCATAACTACCAAACAATTGTGATAGTTTGAAATGTCCCAAAGTCTCAGACTGAATTATTAATATCACATCATTTTTATTTTATGTAATATTTCCTCTTTAGTATGTTAACATCTAGTTGACTGATTTTTT